AGACAGCAACCCCCCGGGGGAGGTACTACCGTCCTGCCAAGGAGTGTAAAACGAAAGCCGTAATTTGTCTTACATGAGGGTGGGTTTGCTGGGTCTTTTGTCTGTTCATAAATATGCAAGATTCGGTCGCTTGCTACTTCTACTTACACTTAGGTCCATACACATAATGTACACGTTTATTTATACACATCATCTGGTTTTTTTTGATTTTATCTTAATAGTTCTTGGTCTTATTACTTTCCTTTTATATCCATGGGGAAGTGGAATAAGAATTTTTTCCTGAAAACTGGTTTGTAAAAGTCAACTAAAATTCCCGGGGAACAATGGGCAAAGAAACCCCCTTTTCCTGAAAGATTCTAAAAAGAATAAGAAGAAAAAAAATTGTCAAAGTGGAAGTCTAAAGTGCGGGGATGTTGTCAATGATAAGAAAGGATGATTGTGGAGTTATGAATGAGAAGAAACGGTTCCCTGGCTTTAAGTGAAACAAAGCTGAAGGGGGGGAGATTTTAAGGGAGGCAAAAAATGGGATTAGGTCAGGGGTTTCAAATGGGTTAAGCAAAAGAAGGAGTAGCAATAATGTTGAAGGATAAGCTAGGGCAGGAAAAGAGGGACAAAAAAATTTAAAATTAAAGGATTTTGTGGAGTAAAATAAGATTGGGATGTGAAAAGTGGGTTTAGTAAGGTGTATGCACCGGGAGAAAGAAAAATGTAGGGGAGAGAGAGATTTTTGGGAAATTTTGAGTGAATGGGGGGGTTTTGAATAAGTTGAGAGAAATGGTGGTTGGGGATTTCAATGCTAAAGGGGGTTAAAAATGTTATGGGGGGAAGTATAGGTAAATTTTGGGGTGCCGGGGGTTAAAGTAAATGGGGAGCCTTTAATTGAGTATGTTAGAAAAAAATTTGGGAAAAAGTAAAACAATTTTATGAAAAAAAGGATAAATAAATATACAAGGTATGATGTACACTAATGAAAGTTTTGTTAGATTTTGTATGGTGGATAAAAGGTGATGGGTAGGCTCCGGGTGTACTTTTATAGGGGGCAACTGTATATCGGGGTCATTATTTATTGTAGTACGTTTGATAAGAGGAGATGGGGGAAAAAGGAGGTGGCAACAACAAATAAGAGGGGTAAAATGTATAAACTAAGGAGGAGGGAAATTTGGGGGAGATAAAAGCGACTATTGGCAGAAAGGTGGGGGGTGCAAAAATGAGAGGGGGGGGTTGAAAAGGGGGTTTGGGAAAATTTTAAAAAGCGTATTAGAATGTGGGGCAGAATTTGTGGAATTTGGGGGTGGGGGGGGAGGAGGAAAGGGGTATTTTGGGGGAATGATGAAGTAAAGGGGTATAAAAAGAAAAAAGGTAGTTAGAGGGTTTTTACAAAGCAGAAGTGTTTAAGAAGAGCAGAGTTATGGAGGAAAAAAAAGGTGAAGAGAGTGGTAGAGAGTGCAAAAGGAGAGCAAGAAAGATGGGGAGGCACTGTCAAAAATTTTAAAGAAAAAAAAAAAAATTTTGGAGGGGGTAAAAGTTAAAAGCTAGGGGGAAAATTGGATTTTTCAGTTAAAAACAGAGTAGGGGAGTTAGTAGATGGGGAAAAGGGGGGGTATTTGGTGATGGCGAGAATATTTGAGGAAATTTTAAATGTTAAGGAAGAAAGGGAGGGAGTAATTTTAGCATGGCCCGGAGGTTACATTTTTTAGGGTGAAAAGAGCAGAATTTTAAATGTGGGGAGGTACGTGAGCATTACGTGAATGAAAGGGGGTTAAAACCTGGAATGATGGGATCATGACAGAAATGTTAAAAACAGGGGGGGTATAGTGTTGGAGTGGGTTTGGACTTTTGTTTAAAAAAAGTATGAAAAGGGGAAGGTACCTAGGGATTGGGGAGGCATGTTACCCTTTATAAAAGGGGAAAGGGGCAAAGAGATTGTAAAAATTATAGAGGAATAATTTACTGGTATACCAGGAAAGTATACGGTAGGGTTATAATTGAAAGAATTTGAGGTAAGACAGAAAAGTAGAATTGTGGACGAGCAAGGGGGTTTCGAGTGGGTAGGGGTGTGTGATCAAGTGTTTTTCTTGAAGCTATATGTGAAAAAGTATTTGATAAAAGGGAGGGGAAATTTTTTTTTCATTTATGGATTTTGAAAAAAGGGATATGATGGTGGGTAAGGGGCAATGTGCGATGTTTTAAATATTGGGAAAGGTGGTAAGTTACTAAATGCGTAAAGAGCTTTTAAGGATAGTGAGGCTAGGTTAGGGTGTGTAGAAAAGAGGGAATACTTCCCGGTAAAAGTAGGTCTTAGACAGGGAGTGTAATTTTCCCATGGTTTTTTAATTTTTATAGATGGGGTTGTAAAAAAAGTAAATCTAGGGGGTTTTGGGAGAGGGGTGGGGTTAAATTATGGGGAATCAAAATTTTAAAAAGGGAATTGCACAGTTACTTTTTGCGGAACTGTGCTTATGGGAGATTCTAAAAAAAAAATTGCAAAGGGTTATGGATGAGTTTGAGAATGTTGGGAAAGGTAGAAAGTTGAAGGAACATAGAAAAAAGTAAAGGGATGAGGGGATCAAAAATTTAGATAAGGAAAATTGGATATCAAATTGGGGAGGAGGAGTATGGAAGAATGAATGTTTTTCGATATTTGGATTTGAGGGGCGGGGTTTGGGATTTATGAGGAGAGGTTAATCATAGAATTGATGAGGGAAAAAAAGGTGAGTGGTCATTGGGGTTTATATGTGGAGTCAAAAAACGTTATCTATGGAGGCAAAGAAGGGAAGTAGAAAGTATAGTAGTCCAACATCTTATATGGATGTGAACTTGGGTGGTAATGCAGCAGCGAGGGGGAGGGGTTGGGGCAGTGGAGATGCCCCTGTCTAGGGCAATGTGTGGTGTAAATATTTCAAAAATTCGGAGTGGGAAATTAGGAGAGGTGGGGTTAATAAAGCATTAGTCAGAGGGCAGAAGGGGTTGTTGAGGTGGTTGGGCATTTAGAGAGATGGATCAAAGTAGAATGCATGGAAAGCATATAAATCTATAGGGGAAGAAAGGGGTAGGGTCGTCCTCGAAAGGGTTTGGAAGAGGGGGTAAAGGATTTTTGTGGGTGAGGGCTTGGGTTCAGCAAGCGTGCACGAGCGTGTTAGAGTGAATGGGACGAATGATACTTGGGACCTGACGATCTTTTGGGAGTGTGAGCAGGGTAATATTTAGTAAAGGATTCAGGAAACCCGTTATTTTCAATTAGGGACTTGAGTCCTGGAAATGGAAGTACAATGCTGCACTTTAAAGGAGGGTTTGGGATATTGGCAGTTTGGGGGATATGTTGTGTATCTCTATACGAAATATGCTTCTAAAACTGTTAATCCTGAGCACCCTCTGCAAAGCAGTGATATGTGGAGTGTGTGAAATGTTGAAGATGTGAAAGTATTTTCTTTTTGGGGATTTTTCTTTCTTTTTTTTTTTGGGTCACCCTGCCTCGGTGGGAGACGACCGACTTGTTGAAAAAAAAAAAAAAAAAATGAAGAAAGACATCATTGATAAGTATGAAAGTGGAGTGTGTGTCTCCGAGCTGGCCAGGTTGTACACAAAACCCCAATCAACCATCGCTACTTATTGTGGCCACAAAAAACGGCAATCAAGGAAGGTTCTTGCCAAAGGTGCAACTATGTTTTCGAAACTAAGATCGCAAGTGATAAAAGATGTTGAGAGACTGTTATTGGTGGGGAAATAAACGAAAAACAGATAGCAGGAGTATAGCATCTCTCAAGCGATCATATGTGAAAAGACTAGGAAGTTGCATGAGGATTTAATTAGAAAAATGCCTGCAACTAGTGGTGATGTGAGTGAATTTAAGGCCAGCAAAGGTTGGTTTGAGAGATTTAAGAATCGTAGTGGCATACATAGTGTGATAAGGCATGGTGAGGCTGCCAGTTTAGACCAAAAAGCAGCTGAAAAATTTATTATTTTATTATTATCACACTGGCCGATTCCCACCAAGGCAGGGTGGCCCGAAGAAGAAAAACTTTCACCATCATTCACTCCATCACTGTCTTGCCAGAAGGGTGCTTTACACTACAGTTTTAAACTGCAACATTAACACCCCTCTTCAGAGTGCAGGCACTGTACTTCCCTCTCCAGGACTCAAGTCCGGCCTGCGGTTTCCCTGAATCCCTTCATATAATGTTACTTTGCTCACACTCCAACAGCACGTCAAGTATTAAAAACCATTTGTCTCCATTCACTCCTATCAAACACGCTCACGCATGCCTGCTGGAGTCCAAGCCCCTTGCACACAAAACCTCCTTTACCCCTCCCTCCAACCTTTCCTAGGCCGACCCCTACCCCGCCTTCTTCCCATACAGACTGATACACTCTTGAAGTTATTCTGTTTCGCTCCATTCTCTCCACATGTCCGAACCACCTCAACAACCCTTCCTCAGCCCTCTGGACAACAGTTTTGGTAATCCCGCACCTCCTCCTAACTTCCAAACTACGAATTATCTGCATTATATTCACACCACACATTGCTCTCAGACATGACATCTCCACTGCCTCCAGCCTGGAAAAAATATGTGCAGGAATTCAAGGAGTACATAGACAGTGAAGAACTGAAACCTGAACAAGTGTTTAATTGTGACACTGACAATGTTGTGAAACACTTTAGGGGAATGTCATAAAGGAACGGGAGGTACAGGCCTCTATGGACAGATATGTTGTGCGACAGAGGTCCAGTGACTCTCAAGCTGGTCTTAGTGGCATTAAAAGAAGAAGGGAAGTAACCCCGGAAAAGGACTTGACACCTCAAGTCCTAATGGAAGGGGATTCCCCTTCTAAACACTAACACCATTCCACAGTCTCCCCTCCTCCCATCCCATCAATCATCACCAGATCTGTAATTGTACATGTCTTCTTCACTTTGTGTGTATTAAAATTAATATTTCATGTGGTAAAAATTTTTTTTTTCAATACTTCTGGGTGTCTTGCATGGATTAATTTGATTTCCATTATTTCTTATGGGGAAAACTTACTTCAATAGAGAAGGAAGAATCTGACTGTAGAGAAACATCAAGACTATCCATGGTGAAAGATCCATGAGGAAGAGCTTGGAACAAGCACATAACATACATCATGATTGACTTCTTATCAGGCACTTGGGAATTCACATCTGTAAATAAGAGAAAACAATAAATTACAGCAACTACACTTGACAGGGGTGTGTAATATCAGCATGGTTGTTTAACATATTTAAAGATGGAGTTGTAAAAGAAGTAAATGCTAGGATGTTGGGGAGAGGGGTGGGATTAAATTATGGGAAATCAAATACAAAATGGATGTTCTCACAGATACTTTTTGCTGATGATACTGTGCTCTTGAGAGATTCTAATGAGAAGTTGCAAAGGTTAGAGGAAGAGTTTGGGAGGGTGTGTAAAGAAAGAAAGTTGAAAATGAATACGGATAAGAGTAAGGTGATGAGGGTATCAAATGATTTAGGTATGGAAGAAGTGGATGTGTTCAGATATATGAGAGTAGATGTGACAGCAGATGGGTTAATGAAGGAGAAGGTTAACCAAAGAACTAATGAAGGAAAAAAGGTGAGTGGTGTGCTGAGGTGTTCTTCTTCTTCTTCTTATGACCAGAGCTTTGGTAAGATGGGTAAGGAAGAATGATGGGTAAGGATGGAAATATTGGAAAAGGGTGGGAGGGGGGGGGAGAGGTAGGATATAAAAGGTAAGTGGCCCAACCACTTTGGTGTAATTTAAAAAGTGTATGTGAAATGATAAGATATTCTTTAAGGGGTATAATACTAACCATCAGAGTCACATAGATATAATAGGTATATAAGTACATGACTCTTGATTGGTAGTAATTATACAAGTTGCAATTGCTTTTTTTTTTTTTTTTTTTTTTTTTTTTTTTTTTTTGCGATTGCACAACGGATATTTATGCGACAATGAAGGGGCAATAATTTTCCGGCCCGTTTATAATTTTGTGACAATGGCTTCTTATAGGTGGTGTCCAGCCATAGTAAATAGCAAAATTTTTACATTAGAAATTTATATAAGATGTCTCCCAAATTGGGGGGGGATAAATTTTCTCAGATACATAGAAGGGTTTGGTGGTACCCAATCTTCTTCATCAGGGAGGTTGCTAAAAATTCAGGGGGTCGGGGTAATAACTTTAAAAATTTAAACGAGGGACCCTCTGGGGGGAGAGTTTTCTTTGGGGTCCTGTGAGAGGAGTTTGATTTTTAAAATTTTGTGGTTTTTACCATTTGGTTAGGTTGTTCTCTATCTGGAAAGTATATTTTTGCATTGTTAAAAGTTTTTCTTTTTTGGGGTGTCAAGGCATACATTTATGGCAAAATATTTGTTGTTGTGAAAATCTGCCCCATTTTAACTCTGTTCTCCTCTGGTATGGAAATTAAAGCGAAGAGCTTTTATTCGGGAAACCCTTTTTAAACCCGGGTAGCATGTTGGTTTTTGTTGAAAAGGCTTTGGGGAAAAAGGGGTTTGGGATACTGGCCCTTATTATCATTTTTTTACAGTTGTTTTTTTAAAAAAATGTTGGGGGGCTTGATTAAATTTCGAAAAGACTGCAAGCCCGGTTTTTGGCTATATTGACTTTTTAGTTACAGGAGATGTTGAGGGGGGAGCACCCTGTCTTTTTTCATACCCAAAAAATTTGTTGGGGTTTTCCCAAAAGGGCAAACCGGGGTTACCTCTGATGGAGATACCCCCTTTATTTCAATTGTAAATGAAAAACCATCCCACCCGGGGGCTAACAACGACCTTGTCGGAATTAGCCCGAAAATTCTCCATTTTTTTTTCCCAATTAGTTTTCAAACAAAATTTCAATATTTTTTTTTTTCCTATAAACCTCTCTCATACTTGTATTTTCCTGTTACCAGAGTTGATGAACGCATGAATAAAATCATCTGAAAACTGTGTCAAAATTTGTATCATTAAATCGGGTTGAGGAAGGTTTATTCACATAAAGGGAAAAAAGAATTGGACTTAGAAAAAAAAACCTTTTGGGGGGACACCTCTTTTGGGTTTAAAAAAACCTGTCGACTTGCCTGAAAGGGGGGAATGATTTTTCGTTGGGGTTTAAGAAATTTTTATTAATCTGAAAAAAGCCCATTTTTATGGTCTGGGGGTCAAGGGTTTTGGGGTTATAAAGGCTCATGCCATAAGCTATAAAAATTTTTTAAATGAACATCTCTGGTGGAAATTTTAAGGGGAAAAGATTGCCCTGATTTTTTTTAGGGATTTTGACCAGAAAATCAAAAATAACATTTTTTGCATGATTGGTACCCTCTATGTGTTCAAAAGCCAAATTGTTTTTCAGAAAAAAAAGTGATTAAACCCCCTATAGTTTTTCAATCTTTTTGGAAATGACTTTTAAAGAATTTTTCCCAGGGGGATTCAAGTAAAGTTATAGGTCGATATTTCCCCCGGTTGGTGGATGCTTTTTTGGGGCTTCCCAAAAAAAGGGATAAATCATAGCGGGAAAATGCCCGGGGCCCAAGGGGGGGAAAAAAAAGATTTTTTACCAAAGACTTTTTTAAAAAATTTTAGGTGGGTACTTTATTTGTTTCATTGTTTTTCCCAGAGGGCCGGGGGGCTCTATTTCTCATTTTTCCCATTTAACCCTGACTTATTTTTTAGAAAAGTAATAGGTCTTTTAAGGGGGTTTGGGTATCTTCAAAAATTTTGTTTTCGAGGGAAAGGGTAGGGGTTTGTAGATCACCCAAGTTTCATCTCTCCATTCATTGCCCAACTGATAATGATTATTATTAAATTGACGACTGTTATTGGGGGAGAGAATTTTCTCCCAAACATCCCCCCATAAAATTAAAGCCTGGCCGGTGGTTTCGTCAAGTTTTCTTTCAACTCTTAAATCACCTCATCAGTGAAGGTATAAAACTAGGTGGTTGGGACCCTTTTGTGCTTTGCCCCTAAAAGTTCCCGGATCTTACCCCAAAATTTTGCGGGTTCCTGTTTAAACTTTTTTGTTTAAAAAAGAACTAAAAATTTTCCATATTTTCCCGTTTGTGAGGGACTAATAATTTTAAAATTTTTTCCGTCAGTGAAACCTGGGGGGTTTGTCCGCTTTTAAAAGAGCCTTAAACCTTTCGCTTGATAATTTTTTAAATTTTGTCTCAAATTTTCCCTAGTGGGTTTATATTGTTGGTAAAACCTTTGGGGAAACTAATTGAAAAGTTGCATTAGTAGCTTCAATTATTCGATTATGCAGGGCCTGAATGCATCATCAAATTTCATTGGAAGGGAGATTTTTTCCCAAAGACACAATTTTTATCCTCACCCAGATATCCCTGGGGGTAAAACCTAGGGTTTTTGGGAAAAATTGGGTTTGGGGGTACGGTATTTTTAATGGAATTTGTAGTTGTATTATAACCGGGGTATGGTCTTTTACGTTTCCACCAGGGATTACGACAGTGGAAGATGTACAGTCCTGTTTGTCGTACTATATCTGGGGTCCCTGGTGAGGTTCCCAAAGTACAAATTTTAAAAAAGGGGCCCTTAAATGACAAATTTCTAGCTGTCATGATATTTTTAAACTGGGTGTCTGTGGAAAACAAAAAAAAAAAAAAAAAAAAACGTTTTCCTTTAAGACAAAAAAGGAAAAGCAAAGAGGGTTTGGGGGTTGCTGTTTTTCAACCTGCTACTATTATCTTTTTTCTTCTTCCAACAAAACCCCCGTATCCTACCAAGGCGGGTGGCCCAAAAAAAAAAAACAAAAGTTTCTCTTTTTAACTTTAGTAATGTATATAAAGGGTTTCGCCCCCTTTCGCCCACCATTTTAGTTGCCCTCCCCTTTCGAATTACAAGGCTTCCGGGAAAAAATTCTGTTCCACTTTCCCCCTGGGGAAAAAGAAGAAAATAAAAAAACAAATAGCAAGAAAAAAAAAGAAAAAACCCCGAGGGTGTGTTAAAATACAGCTTGTACAGCATGTTTTTAAATGTGACCTAAGTGTAAATAGAATAGCAAGACTTTCCTGAAATCTTTCATGTTTACGAGGAGAAACGAGACCCCGGGGAATCCACCCCTTTAGGGAAAAAAATTACAGGGTTTTTTGGGTTTTTCACTCATTTGGCAGGGCGGTTTGTACCTCCCTGGGGGGTTGCTGGGCTATCAACCTATTACCCAGGACTATTTTAAAAATAATAAGGAAAAATAATAATAATAAATTTTTATTAAAATTTTTTTATTATTAAATTTCATCTTTATGTTTGTTTATATTTTTTTTGGGACTGCAAAAGGGAAAATACATCTATTTTCAGCATTTTTGCCCCGGGGGCGCCCCAACAAAATGCCATGATGAAAATCAAAAGCCTTTCCATTTCAGGGGGTCTTTTTTTTGTCATGCATTATCCAGGGTTAAGCCTTAAACATGACATCACGCCGCTGCCACCTTCCCCAGTTTACTTCTCGTGCCACATGGCTGCCGTGGGGGAGAGGGGAAATGTTTCCCCTTTTTCTCTCCCTCCGCCCCACCTTTTGTCCCGGGGGTTCCCCTTTTGTTTTGGGGGGATAAATGTTTAATTTTTTTTAAAAGGAAAACTTTAAAAACCCGGGGAAAATATAGGCCCAAAACCCTAGGGCTTCACAAAGGGGGGCCCAAACGAAAGAAATAGGGGGGAAATTTTTGGGGTGGTGACGGGTTTAGTGTGGAACTGGGTGCAGCAAATTTTAAGGGTGGGGGCTGTTTGGTTTCCATCTGCCCCAAACCCCGGCCTGGCCCCCCAAAAAAATCTGTTCATTCCCCTTAAATTTTGTTTAAAACAGCAGTTAGAGAGTACCCTAAGATAACTGTTTGAGAATTGAAAAAAAAAAAATGCAAAATTTCTTCCGAGTTGTCTGAAGAACTATTAAAACCCCCTTTAGGGTCGACAGGCCCTCCCGAAACTCCCTTCTCAGGGTTCCCGGCCCAAAAAAAAAAAAAAAATTATTTTCCTTATAAAAAATTTGGGGAATCTTTCCCCATCAAAAAAGCCAAACCCAAAGTTTTAAATTTTATAGAAAAAAATTTCGAATTAGGGTCTCGCAAAGTTAGGGGTCTCGGGGAAAATTTTTTCCCCATCGGGATTTTTTCCCACTTTGAAACCCCATTTTTTGGCCCAAATTTCACTGTACTAGTCC